TTTTCGTTGTGACTACTTTGTTACTTTGTTTGGTCTTCCAAAAGAGGACGATATCCACTTCGTCATGCCTGGAGCTGATCTGTGCTGGTCACTACATCAACTCATGCCTGGAGCTGATCTGTGCTGGTCACTGAGGGAATACATCAACTTAGTGCGCCGACACACCGACACATTTTATGGAGGACCGTTTCCTGATCCTGGGAGAGTAACGTTAGACTAAAATGCCGGCAGTTCGTAAGTACGTCGCGAGTTTTGGGCAGTGTAGAGTAGCACTTGTTGTTTGTCATTTCTCTGATCACAAATGCAGACAGGGTTTTATGTTTACACGGCGCAATGCAATGCAACGCAACGCGTAAAAAGACAGTATAAGTCATTATAATCAGTAATTATGTCCCCACTGGATGCAACAAATGCCTCGTTTGTAATGGGTTTAAATGTTTTTGTGTCGTCGCTCCGGCTGGGACACGGCATCACAGTATGGTGAGGGGTGTAACATTTCCGTCACATGCTTGAGGTATTTGGCCAATCACAACGCACTGGATAGCTGGCCAATCAGAGCACACCTCGCTTTTTCAGACCGATGAGCTTTGTAAAAATCGACGTGTTTCAAAAAGGCGGGGCATAGAGGAGAAACAATAATGTACAGTATGTGAAAAATAATGTTTTTTTTTTACTTTAAACCGCATAAACACATTTCATTACACCAAAAACACAAAATAATATTCTTTTTAGCAGCATCATATGACCCCTTTAAAATAATGACATTATTGAATCAATTACATCAATGCCAATCAGTTCAGAAACCACATGCAGCAATTTTCAAAACAGGAATTTGCTTTAGGTTACTTTCCATACAGTTTGTGTATTACCTATAAAAACATTATTGCTTTTCAATCAATCCATATTGAAGATTTCATTCGCATTAAAGGTTTTAAGTGCTATAATCAGGTCCCTGGTGGACCTGCCTTTTTCTGCAAGCATCTGAGAAAACGAGTGCGTCTGATTTCGCTCCATTGGTGAAGTGGCAAAGGGATCTCATTATAATATTACCGCCCCTTAATCTGTAAATTTCCAACCACAGCGCCATCATTTGATTTTGCAAGCGACAACGCTGTACCAGTTCTAATGCCAAGGAGAAAGTTTGAGCAAAACATGCTAACTGTTCTGTCATTGGCTGCACAGACGAGCACAGAACACTATTTAGATCTAAAATAAACATGCAATTTATTTCCCAGCTGTTTACCGACATAACCGACTGTTTTTGTAACTCATGTATGTTTTTAACGTAAACTTGTGCGTGAATGAGAACTTAGTTTAGTACTCACATGCTGCGACAGCCGCTTTCTGTCCGTGTGCTTCGGATGTGTGCGCTCAGAAAACCGTGTATCAGATGTTTAAACCGCATGATTTCAGTGATATAAACATGATAATCATAACAGATGTTTTTAGGAGGTCCGAGCTGTAATGGCGCAGCTCTATTCTGGAAAAGGGGGCGGGGAGCAGCAGCTCATCTGCATTTAAAGAGACAGGCCCGAAAAACAGTGTTTCTGCTTCCACTCAAAATAGGCATTTTCAAAATGATATAATAAATGATCTGTGGAGAATTTTGAGCTGAAACTTCAAAGACACATTCTGGGGACACCAGAGACTTATATTACATATTGTAAAAAGGGGCATAATATGTATCCTTTAAGGACAAAATAAAGTGGGGTGAACTATATTTAGTGTCATGAAAAGATGATTCTCCAAGAGCTGAATAACTCTGGCAAAACGGAATCCTCAATTGCACATGAATGAAATCAGTTCGGTTTAAAACATAAACACCTTCCTGTATCTGTCTGGTTTCTGAGAGCATGCATACTAGACGTCTAACAAATGTACAAAACATCATTCCACTATGCCACTTTTATCCATCATGTTTGTTCACCACCTGCTTTGAGCATTTCAAATTTTCATTTTGAGTCACTCTGACTCATATGTTTGTGCCAAAAAGACCGAAGTTGGTTAATAATCTGTCTAGAAATATGATGCAACAAACTGACTTTTGTTTAGTATGTTAAATAGTAAGTATCTTGTCATAGATCAGTTTACCAATCATGAATGAAATTCATCACCCTAGGCAATGAATATCCATGCACAAGGAGTCAGATGCACTATTTACTTTTGAGAAGGAGAGAATATCGAACTAGAATATGCTGGCATCTGTCTAATTTAGTGGATTGCAACCCACCAGTTGAGAAGCACTGACCTGAGGCAAGCAAGGCATCAATTTAAGCGTCCTCATTTCAAGCTACACGGCTAGTCTAATGAAAGCTGCTGTCTAATGTAGGCCAACTCACCCATATCTGCAGTTTGATTCTCTTGTCGTTCTTGTAGACGGTTTTGACTTTGAAATCGATGCCCACCGTGCTCACAAACGCTGACGTGAAGGAGTCGTCAGCGTACCGGAAGAGAAACGACGTCTTTCCTACACTGCTGTTGCCGATGATCAGCAGTTTGAACATGTAATCGAAGTTCTGGTCAGATCCTTCTTTCTGTGTCGCAGCCATCTGCAACGAGAAAAGACGCTTTCGGACAAACAGCTTCGGCAACACAGATGTGCATTTTATCTGCACCAATAAATCTTCAAAAAGCTTATATGCATCTATTATGGAGCTATATTTCATAAGATAGTGGACACTAATCAAGCAATTTGAACAGAAGACTGAAGAAGGTCAGATTTTTTACAGTTTAACAACAATAAAAATCTAACACTAAACTGCTATTTATTAACAGAAACATTTGGATTAATTAAAGTCATTTGATAATACTGACATTGTTATTATTTTTGATGATCGATATTATCTTTGTTTAATTGTCTGCTAAACCAGCATATTTCAATTTCTGTCTTTTTTAATACAATTATAATCACACTACAATATAATCATGAATACTAACAATAATCTACTGTATTTACACTGTTTTTGCAATCTAAATTTGTAATTTTGTACTGTATTACGTTTTTCTGCTATCCAAAATAATCGAAATCATTTTTTGTAATCAAATTAAAAATTAATAAATTAATACATTGTAAAAAAAAACAATCTAAATTTGTTGTAATATATACAATTTTGATTGTAATATCACGCATATCTGAGGAATAACTGCTGAAAACATTTTATACATATAGCCTAATGTATATTTATACAAAATATAAAAATTACAATGGAGTTTGCAGTACAGTAAACATTTTAAGATTATTTGGGTAAACCGATTATCGGTCTATAATTATTAGAAAATATAATGAGACCTAAACCTCTTTTTTTTTTTTTAAATATGGGTACAAAAAAAGACAGATTTGACATATGGTTTAAATAACAGTAAAGATGAAACTTGTGAATTAGCTTTGAAAAGTAGACCTATTGAGTTTACTTCTACACAAACGACATGTTTAACACTGTAATTTTGTACTGTATTACGTTTTTCTGCTATCCAAAATAATCGAAATCATTTTTTGTAATCAAATTAATAAATTAATACATTGTAAAAAAAAACCAATCTAAATTTGTTGTAATATATACAATTTTGATTGTAATATCACGCATATCTAAGGAATAACTGCTGAAAACATTTTATACATATAGCCTAATGTATATTTATACAAAATATAAAAATTACAATGGAGTTTGCAGTACAGTAAACATTTTAAGATTATTTGGGTAAACCGATTATCGGTCTATAATTATTTGAAAATATAATGAGACCTAAACCTCTTTTTTTTTTTTTTAATATGGGTACAAAAAAAGACAGATTTGACATATGGTTTAAATAACAGTAAAGATGAAACTTGTGAATTAGCTTTGAAAAGTAGACCTATTGAGTTTACTTCTACACAAACGACATGTTTAACACAACCAAACAAAGTAGTTTCGCTTTCACAACGAAGCACACAGCGTCTTCACGACATGGCGGCAGCGGCAGCAATACTACAGCGAGAATAAAAGTTACACCTTCTTTCTTTTCGTGAACATTTGGGCGGTGTTATGCAAATCTTCCCACATAGTGAGGTAGACATGTGGGGGTGTGTTAGAACGAGGCGTTTTAGGTAGGTGTGGCTGACTCTTAACTTTTTATTTGAGACTTTAGTCTTTGCAACTTTACAGATCTTCTTTATGCACCAAGAGCTTGTAACACTCCAAAGAGAAAGGAACAATTGAAATCGCATCATATGACCCCTTTAAAGCTTTTGCAAATCTCTGGTCGTAGGAAACAATTCTATGAACCTGAATTTATGTAAGTGTAAATGTATAAAACAAATCTAAAGAAATGCTAATAATCATTCCAGTTATTATTTCAATATTTCGACAAGAGTAGTCTACTAAAAATTCAATCAAATTGTAGTGGATGAACTAAAAAACAGATTCAGTTTTGAGAAGCAAGATGTAATTACTCACAGCAGTGATACAATGCTATTTTAGTATTATGTATATACTTTTATATTATTTATAAATATTTTGAACTGGCTTTTATTTTTATATTTTCAGTTTATCAGTTACATTTTAGTTAAAATTTTCTTTTTATCATTTTTATTCGTTTTGTTGTATATTTCTATTTAGCTTTGCATTTTTTTTATTTCAGTTTTTATTAATTTAGTACTTCAACGTCAACTTAGTTAATCATTTTAGTTAGTAATTAAGTTAGTTGCTAAGGCAACATTTCTCATTTCTCTAATCTTTGTTTGAAATTTTTTGTTTTTCACCTAATATTTATTTATATTATATTTGAACTTGATTTCAATTAAACAATACCACCGGATGCCGTGCGCGCGCCAAAAGACAGTTGGACATAGTGGTGTATTAGAGGTAAAATATTATATAAAAACTGTTCGGTTTCTGGCACAAACCGATCGTTTCGTGTCTTAGGACATCAATGTGTCGTCACGAGCCGCAGGGTTTAATATGGATTTGTCTGTGCATGTGTTTTTTACTCTCATAGATTTTGTTACCATTGCCATGCATTATACGACTGATAGACTGAAACGGCTGGAGTTAAAAATCTTCATTTGTGTTCTACTGAAGAAACAAAGTCACCAACATCTTGGATGCTCTGGGGGTAAGCAGATAAACATCACATTTTCATTTTTGGGTGAACTATCCCTTTAAAGCAGACAGTAACCATACTAAACCATACACAATTCTGTTAGCTTCTGATTCTAATTTCAATCCTACAAACAATACAGTGGATACTTAAGTTGAAAAAGCAATATGTTTGCCCTGAGATGCTTACAGTATGGAGGACTGTATTGAGGTCATCCTTGAGGAGCACAGCAGCAGGTGGTTCAGTCACCTTACTGATCGGATCTGCCTTCGCTAGAGTCTATGCCTGGACTGAGAATCCCTTTCAGACTAAAGGTGCTTTGACTTTCTGCACATTTCTCCCTTTAATAGAGAGAAGTTGAGACAAGCTAAGGAAGCTGAAAAGGTCTGGTATGATATTCTCCCAGGTGCCATTTTTACCTTCAACAAAAGAACAAACTCTAAATGTTATCAAGCTTCTAGAAGGACGCAAAGGCCATCTGGCTGACCTGGGATCAGGCGATGGACGTTTGGTAAGTCATGGATAAAATGGTTTTGGAGCTTATACTTAATCTCATGTATTAACTGTCCTGTTCTGAAATGCAGGCTTTTGCAGCACCGTCAATGGGATTTCAATGCACAGGTTTTGAAATAAACTCCATATTATTGGCCTGTTCAAGGAGTAAAGCATGGTGGCGTGGAGTACCGCACACTGATATTCATTTCCTCAAACAGGACTTCTTGAAGGCAAGCTTTATATGTATGTATTTCAAGTATTTTACATTGTCAAACGCGTCTATAGCTTTCCTTACTGCAGCTCTTTGATTTTTCAGACTAATCTGTCCAAATTCAGAAACGTGACAGTGTTTCTGGCTCCTGCAGTGGTATGCTGCTGGATTGACATGTGGGGGCGCTATAGGATCATTTAATTCATTTTCTGTCTGTTCTCTACTTGCAAATCCCACATGCATTTCATGAAGTTTCATTTTTATAAAATGCTGACTCTTCTTTTGTGTCCTTGCTTGCATTAAATCATGCACGTAAGCTTCAATATGTTAACTTTAGTTAACGCATAAGATATAAACAAAAAGTACTATTTTTATAGCATTTATTAATTTGAGTTAATTTAGAAATATAGTATTGTTAATTCATGATGCATTAATTGTTAATAAAAGAAAATTGGAATTGACATTAATTAATAAATGCTATTGCATTAGTTATTTTAAATGTATTGTAAATTGTTAAAGTATCATTTATATACTATAGTAGTTTTTAATGAATTTATTATTTTTTTTGTATTTTCCTCTTTTACTTCAAATGTAAAGTTTTAATAACTTTGACATTTTATTCGTTTTTGTTATTTTTTGTCATTTGTATATAGCTTTTAATTTTTCTTTCAGTTTTAGTTTTAGCTATTGTAGTACAAGTTAAACTAAATGAAAATGAAAAATGTAGCTGGAAAATACATTTACTTTGCATACACACACACACACACACACACACACACGTATACTCCATTTAACATTTTCTTTCAATTAGTGTTTATTTAGAGTAAGGAATATATTTTTTAATGCTTTTAGTTTAAGTTCACTATAATAAACCTAAGTGTTAGCAAAACATCTTATAGCATGACTTTTTGTAAAGCATTTGAGGGTTGAAGATTTTTAATCATGATTTATGTGTTAACGTGGCAGATGGGGGTTCTGGAAGAGTTGTTAAAGGAACTTCCTGAGGATGCCAGAGTCATTGTGTGCCGTTTCCCTTTTCCTCACTGGCCCCACAGCTGCACTGCTGGATCTGGATTAAACCAGGTCTGGGTTTATGATGTCCACACTGCTAGAGAACCGTCCAGAACATCTTCTCACTAATCACAGCCCCGAACCAGCCTTCTGGTCTCCAGTGAGCGGTCCATTCTCAATGGTGACAAACAAGCCACATGCAGCTCAGAAATCGAGATATTTTGCTCTTTATAAAAGCCTTACATAACAGATGATTAATGGTTCTGCGTGACTGTCAAATCTATGAATTTCCAAATACTATTCCAAAGCAAGCTGATGTGTGATGTTAAATAAATCGATGCACTGTTTTCAGTCATTTCTTGCCTTGTATTGGACATACACTGTACATTGGAATCAAAAAGTCTGAGTTCGCTTATGAAAATGCTTCTATTTGACATTTTCTGCTATTTAATTAAAAAGTTAAACTAAAAAACGGACATATATTTCAGAGTTTCCTAGCATTTCCAGCATGATTTAAGCAAGGTTATTATTATTTTATTCAAAAAAAATCTTGTCGCTTCAACTAAAACAAACATTAACAAAAATGATTGTAATAACTAAAATATATAAAAAATATTTTGATAAATTAAATTAATAATTTTTATTAATAAATTAATTAAATTAATAAAACATAAAAATGAACAAAAAACTCTACACATTTAAAACATACAGATAATAAAAATGACAAAAAACAAACAAAAATAAACAAAGGTAAAATTAAAATGAAAGCATAATAGAATAGTATTGTTTATTGTTTGTCTTGTATTGTGTAGTAATAACATACTTTATTATTATTATTACTTGTTTTTGTATTACAGATGTTTAAGTTACATGTGACTGCACTGTTAGGATTGCTCAAATACACTGTACATTGGAATCAAAAAGTCTGAGTTCGCTTATGAAAATGCTTCTATTTGACATTTTCTGCTATTTAATTAAAAAGTTAAACTAAAAAACGGACATATATTTCAGAGTTTCCTAGCATTTCCAGCATGATTTAAGCAAGGTTATTATTATTTTATTCAAAAAAAATCTTGTCGCTTCAACTAAAACAAACATTAACAAAAATGATTGTAATAACTAAAATATATAAAAAATATTTTGATAAATTAAATTAATAATTTTTATTAATAAATTAATTAAATTAATAAAACATAAAAATGAACAAAAAACTCTACACATTTAAAACATACAGATAATAAAAATGACAAAAAACAAACAAAAATAAACAAAGGTAAAATTAAAATGAAAGCATAATAGAATAGTATTGTTTATTGTTTGTCTTGTATTGTGTAGTAATAACATACTTTATTATTATTATTACTTGTTTTTGTATTACAGATGTTTAAGTTACATGTGACTGCACTGTTAGGATTGCTCAAATTTCACTATACTTGTATAGTGACAATAAAGAAATCTTGAATCTTACAGATACTAAATCAAAAAGCATCTTGAATTTCACATTTTTCTGTCAGTACAAAGAGTCACATGATCAATGCCACTCATTAACTCACGTTTGATTTGTGTTAGAAACAGATACATTACTGAATCTGAAATAGTCCTTTATTTTGACATTAAAAAAATCCTAAAACTTTATTTCAAGGTTCAAATGAAACACAATCCAAGAATTTCAACATGGTTTTAAGATTTTTTTTTTGTTTTTTTGTTGCACTCAACTGTATGTCTGTCATATTAAAATTCAGTAGGAGCATGAATGAAACGCTCTCAAAATGTTATCTTGCATTCAGTTGGGATGGTTATTAGGGATATAATACATAAACATCTAATCATCATGGATCATTTGTCTCATAATTGTTTCGTAAGAAGTTGCCTGGCATGTCTTGTATACCCAGAATAGATCTGTCACGTTTACATACTTATTACACTGCCTGCTATTTTACCCTCAATTAAAACTGATGCTGTTGGCTGGAAAATAAAGCTTGTGTTTTATGCAGTCCACAAACTAACCCTGCAAACACACGCTCCTCACTCTTCCATACGCTTTACACCCTGCTATAGAAGAACCTTCCAGGCTGCAGTTTGACATCACTGATGAATAATTCGTGAGACATGTGGTCAGCTAGACATGAAAAGCAATAGACGAAAAAAAAAGTGAAAATGGGATCTGCTTTTAATTTGACACTGTTATGTGTTTTAATAAGCCCGCGCTGTGAATCTGCATTGTTTGCATGCAATCAATATAAATGTTTACCTACGACACACTCTGAGGAAGGCTGGATGGCCGAAATGCATCAGTGTGCAGTGTTCTAGTCATTTTTAATGTTTCTAGAGTGAGCCATGTTTGAATAAAGGCTTTTTAACATTTTGGAACTGGAAGAAGTGCCTTGGATCCGTAGTTTCTATCATTTTGAACCGTACCAAAGAACACCTTCTGGGACTATTAAACGGAGGTCCTTTCAGCAAGTAGCGCTCCAAGATGTTTTCTTTGAGTTATACATGTTTACCTGTTGAATTGAACTATAAATAACTGAATTCTGCATGTAAACCACTCTATATATTAGGACTTGAAAACCAGCCTTCTCAGAACCACAGGACAGCATCAACACACTTCAGCTGATCCAAACAAAAGTAAACATTTTCCCACTCTTCCTCAAGACCACTTCAAAAAAAAAAAAAATTTCCCCCCTCTTCCCCAAGACCCCTTAAAAAAAAAAAAAAAAAAAGCAATGCATTGTATAAAATGTGTTACCTTAATTTGCAGAACATTGAAAGCTGATGGCCGTTTCGATGAATAAAGGATCCTTGAGGGCAGAATTCTGGACGTGAATGTTTAACACTGTAGTCAAATCATAGGCCTACTCACTGTTAGATGCTGAGCGCATCCTGCAAAAAGAAAAGCTGTTATAAAGAAGAAATAAACACCACATATGCATTAACCATGACATTATGTAAATATATAGGGAAAATGGTAAAAACACAAGCATATTTATTTGATTTCTAAAATCTAGACTCTAAATATAACATTATGATCTATGAAGGTTAAATGCTTCTCATATAGCTAAATCAATAATATTATTAGAAATCTGCTGGCTGTGTGTAACAGGAGTATGAGTCATACATGCGCCACAAAACCAAATCCATTCAACTAGTGTAAATCCACCACATGGTGGCGCTGGAGAACTTTACTGTAATATACAGTCTCTAAAACATGCTCATGCATGTCCTAATCAAACTTATAGATACAAAATATTGTAACAAACTACATGGACAGATTGAATAAAGTGATATTAAGTGCATAAAACGCGTTAAAAAGTCTGAAACATTTACAAAACACATTGTAAGATACAGAGGGTTTTAAGTATAGATAAATAACAATAATAAAATAATTGAAAAATCTGAAATAATATTAAATTAAAATGAATTTTCTTTTTCTATGTTAAAGTTATACATTTCATTTCAATTTAGTATAATAAAAGTTATTACAACTGCGCTTTACTGATATGTCTAATCTCAGGAATAAAATATTCCATATGTCAACGCGCAAGCCATAACACTGATTTCTGTTCAGAGACGCGAGTCTAGTTCCAGCGCCGCGTGACGCGCCAGTGAAAAAGAAAAAGAACTGGGCGGAGCGGCGCGCGTGCAGTGTATAAGAGCGAGGCTCTGTGCTGATTCCTCGCAGTCTGGACTCGAGCATGGACATACTCAGGACCATAACACACCATCATCATCATCATCAGCCTGTGAATAACGGCAAGATGTGTGAACACACACACCACAGACCCACCGAGCGCAGACGAGGGAAATCAGAGGATAATAATGCTCACGCCACGCAGGAAATGTCACGCATCATCACGGATTCAGCCACTGGGAAATGTTACTGTAGAGGAAAAGTTTTGGGCAAGGTAAATATTTTACATTTGACTTATGAAAAAGTAATACCATAGTATTTTTGGAGCACCATTTACATACCATAGTACAGTAAGATGATAATACCATGCTACATATTAAAGCCTATAGTACTTTGAAAGTGTTTATTTTGAGTTTTGTTTCTTTTCAATAAACCAAATCAATAACAATAGTTATGCATAAATTTGCTAAATCATGCATAAGCGGTTACCAGTTGAATATAGTGTATTTATATGTAATGCTCTAGTTTGTCATTGTCTTACAATGCATGCTCTCTCTCTCTCTTTCAGGGTGGTTTTGCCAAATGCTATGAATTTACAGATCTGAGCACAGGCAAAATGTATGCAGCCAAAATCATTCCACACACGCGCGTTTCCAAACCTCACCAAAGGGAAAAGGTAACTTGCTTTCCTGCTGTCACGTATTTGCTCCTGACTGCATTGCTTGAATTGTTTATTAAGCTTGCAACCGTTTGATTGACAGATCGACAGAGAAATTGAATTGCACAGAGCCCTGCATCACAAACACATCGTTCACTTCTACCACCATTTCGAGGACAAGGATAATATCTACATTCTACTTGAATACTGCAGCAGACGGGTGAGTCCTATCGACGTCCTTCTTCGATTGATGAAACGGATCTTGTAGGAAATATTGTTGCTCATGTACAGTTTTTTTTTGTTCTTCAGTCACTAGCACATATTCTCAAGGCCCGAAAGGTGCTTACAGAACCAGAGGTTCGGTACTACCTAAGACAGATCGTCTCTGGGTTGAAGTATCTCCACGAGCAAGAAATCCTCCACAGAGACCTTAAACTAGGTAAGCAACTAGCACATACATTCAAACCCCAATAATACGGCCTTCCTGTAGTTCAAACATGGCGGCAGCAATGCCAAAGTCATGGGTTTGATTCCCAGAGAATGCATGAACTGATAAAACATTTAACTTGAATGCAATGCAAATCACTTTGGGGAAAAAAAACATCTGCCAAATGCATAGATGTAAATGTAATAAACCCCAATTCTGTTGCTCTTCCCAGGTAACTTTTTCATCAACGAGTCTATGGAGCTCAAGGTTGGAGACTTTGGTTTGGCTGCAAAGCTCGAGCCGGTCGAGAACCGTAGAAGAACAATATGTGGAACACCAAATTACTTGTCGCCTGAAGTCCTCAACAAGCAAGGGCATGGATGTGAATCTGATGTGTGGGCGCTCGGTTGTGT